TATCTCTATTGCCATTTGTTTGCTTTGTAGATTTGTTGAGCGTCAAGAGTTTCTCAGACGCACTGAGGAGCGTACCTACGAGCAATCACGCCACCGTGAGCAACCCAAACGCAAGTGACGCGAGGGGATGGATACTGTTGGGCATAATTAGCGTCAGCACTTACGAGTAAGCATAAGAATACATGATGTGGTTGTAATTGATGCGCGCCTCGCTGCCAATGCTACATTAAGCACCAGAAGGCATCGAGCCATTTGGTAAACTCGTGACGTATGCCGCGGGGCTTTTTTACTACAAACGTCTGGCTGAAAATGTCCGAACTGGAAGTGCCGGACACAGCTACAGCGGAGATAAACAAGCGCAGCACTAACCAAAAAAGAAAAACCTGCGCACGCACGCCAGGCGAGAAACCTGCTCTGTCGATAATATATGCGCACGGACTGCGGCGAGGAGAATGAAGGCTAGTGCCGTCAGCCCGCTCTGATGCAAATTGCCGCCTTGTCCCGCCAATTTCTCCTCCCCACACATCCAGCAACGGCAGCCTATAAAGCCACCAGCAGCGCCCATTTCTCATGTTCTCCCCACTCTTCCTTAACTAGCTTCTACTCTACGCCCTTCTTTTTATGCTTCATATTGTCCTTGCTTGCTCTTGATTTGCATCTATTCTCTTTGCTCACTTGCCATATTCGCTCCAGAGTAATACTGTCGTTGCATTTGCCATGGCTAGCACCAAATGTAAGCACTCTATGGCATGTAGCTACTCCTCTTTACCGCAGCCTCCTTCAGCGCCAAGCGCATGCAAGAAGAGGCGGTCCTGCTGTGCGCGCGTGTGGACAGCGCATGCGGGCCGATGGCCATCCCGTCCTTTCATTGAGCGTGCAGGCTCTGCGATTCTGCCCGCATCGCCTGTTCCCACGCTTTTTGCAGACCAAAGAGAGAGCCGGAGAGATGGCAGCGGTGCCTTCCCTCTCCCGCTCGTCTTTTTAGCATTACTACGCCCTCTACTTGCCTTCTTGTTTGCTATATTTTCTTTGGGCAGATAAGCAATTGCATTTGGCTATTTCATGCTCTGGGCTCACGTCATACCAGCATACTAACTTCTCTTTCCCCCAACGCATTTGCGCAACTCTTTACCAACCTCTTCCTTTTATACCCGCGGTCTTGCCTTTTTCGACTGGCATCGATGCTCTCCTTGCTCGCGGTGAAACGTGGCGCTGCCTCGGCGCTTGCTCTTGTTTCGACGTCTGTCCATACCTCTTACACGGCGTCATTGCGTGCGCTATCGACAACTGCAGCCTCCAAGCAAGGCGCTCAGGCCAATGCGGCTACGCCCGGATCCGAGACTGCCACTGGCGACAAAGTACTGACGTTAGAAAGCATGAACCCAAACATCCTTAAAATGGAATATGCCGTTCGAGGCGCTATTCCCATTCGTGCCGAGAAGCTCAAGGAGCAGCTAAAGACAAACCCTGGCTCGCTCCCCTTCAAGCAGATTACGCCTTGCAATATTGGAAACCCGCAGCAGCTGGAGCAAAAGCCGCTTACGTTTTTGCGTCAGGTGAGCGCCTTGATGGAGTACACTGACCTCCTCTCGCCGCAGATGATTGACACCACGCGCAAGCTATTTCCTGAAGACGCCATTGAGCGTGCTCGGCGCAACTTGTCCTTTATCGGCAACGCCGTTGGCGCCTACACTCACTCGCTGGGTATCTTTGAAGTGCGCCAAGACGTTGCCCACTTTATTGAGAGTCGCGACGGGTTTCCGTCTAATCCGGACCATGTTTGTCTCACCTCTGGGTAAGAAGTCTACTACAAATCGGCTGCCCCACGCCTCCTTTTCCGCCTCAATATCCGTGCTTGGACATGCTTGAACTAATATGATGAGAGAAAAAACGGGTTTGTTGCTTGTCTGTTTGCTGTTCTGTTAGTGCATCTGGCGCGGTTGAGCGTGTAATCGACATGCTAGTATCCAGCCCCGAAGTGGGTATCATGATCCCCATTCCTCAATACCCCTTATATACAGCTACTTTGGCTCACGTCAACGCTCAGGCCGTTCCGTACTACCTGCAAGAAGACAAGGACTGGCAGCTGAGCATCAGCGATCTGGAAAACTCGCTTGCCGAAGCGCGCGCCAAAGGCACTGATGTGCGCGCCCTGGTTGTAATCAATCCCGGCAACCCGACTGGAGGATGCCTTTTGGAGTCCAACATTGTCGAAATTGTGCGCTTTTGCGAGCGCCACCGTCTGGTCATTATGGCCGACGAGGTGTACCAGACCAATATATACACCGAGACCAATCCCTTTGTATCGTTCAAAAAGGTTGTCTCGCAGCTGGGCTCTGCTGTCGAGCTTTTTTCGTTCCACTCCATCTCCAAGGGCATGGTGGGAGAATGTGGACGCCGTGGCGGATACTACGAGGCTGTAAACATTGACGATAAAGTTATGGACCAGCTGCTCAAACTGGCTTCAGTGAGCTTGTGCCCCAATGTACTTGGGCAGATGGCTGTCGGCATCATGGTCAACCCACCGCGCCCTGGAGACCCCTCACACGCGCAGTACATGGCGGAGATTGAGGCCGTATACGAAAGCATGAAGCGGCGCGCCAAGCGGCTGGCCAAGGCGTTCAACTCGTTGCCAAATATGAGCTGCAACGACGCTCAGGGCGCCATGTACTTGTTTCCTCGCGTTGAATTGCCGCTGGCCTTTGTTGAAGAGGCCAAGGCAAAGGGCCAGCAGCCAGACTTGATGTACTGTATGCAGATGCTGGAGACAACTGGTATTTCGGTTGTTCCCGGCTCCGGCTTTGGCCAGTACCCAGGTACATTCCACTTCCGTTCCACCTTTTTGCCGCCTGAGAACCTCTTTGACGACTTTATTGACGGCTTTAAGCGCTTTCATCTGGGCCTTATTGGCCGTTACTCGCCAAAGATATAGGTAGGGTTTATCGGGCCTCGTTTACTTTGCTGTTCATTTGTTGCAACATGTGCACTAAATACACTTTTTTTGGTTGTATTGCCCCTTTTACAGTGGCTCTTGTCAAGAGTACCTTCAGCTGTGGATCCTTGCCCATTGAGTGGCACCATTTTGACATGCAGACGTCCGCGATTGATTGCAGAAACATGGCACAAAGTGCATTCCTCAATAAACTAGTAAATCTCTTTGACGACTTTCACACTCTTTATATAAAAGTGTCTCTTGCGCCTATTAAAAAGACGTGGAATACTTTTGCTTCTAAGGGTGAAGACCAATTAAAGGGCTCAAAGAACTGTCTTGCTTTTTGTACAACGACACCTAGCCTTTCCCTTTCTCTGCCATGAAAAGACGACGTGCATTAATTCGTATGATGCTTTTGTAGCTGCCTTTGCGGATAAGCCTGCAAAAAGAAACTTTTTGCAACACCAACCGACACCAAAAACATATTCATGTTGTCTAATCTGCTCCAGTTGTCAACTTGCACAACCTACTTTTCTCTACAAATTTTTTACTCACTCTTTTGATCAATATTATTTTGTACTTTCTATTCTGCATCTGCGTATTAACACTGCTATCATTGAGCCTCAATAGCGCTTACCATGCCTGCCATGACGACTCACGTAAGTACAGTTGCGCCTGGGTGCTGCGCTAGCCTGTTTGCCATATAATCATATACATACTAACCTTGGCTCGCCCAGCATATACCAGCGTTTGTAGATCAGTACCAGTTTGCAGACATTTTATCTGTACAAAATTCTTGGCTTAAAAAATGACGCGACAAAAACAGCAATCACTGAGGCATACAAGAAGCGCCTCGTCAAGCATCACCCCGACAACTACCCAGGCGCCAGCGATGTTATTAAGCTTATTCAACATGCATTCGAGGTCTTGGGAAACACGGAGACGCGTCGCATATACGACATGTTTTGCCAGTACATTCTTTACAACTCTGACACTACCGCTGTGTCCGAAAAACATGCACACGTGTATCCAAAACCACAGTGGGTGACTCAGAAAAACGACGTTGTGTACGTAATGGATGTGTCGCTGCGAAATCTGTACAACGGAAAAAAGACGATGGTAGTGACTAAAGACATTTCAGTCGAGGTGGACATTATGAAGGGCATGGCCGATGGACAACGTGTAACGTACTCAGGCAAGGGGCTAAAGATGCCTAACAACGAATCCGGCGATCTTATAGTTATCATAAACCGCGTAGACTATCCGTTCTACAGGCAGACAGGGCCGGCTAATATGCAATGCGAGGTTGAGGTAGACCACAAGATGGCGCAGAGCGGCGGAAACATCTGCATACGTCATCCGTCAGGAAACATTTTGAGTCTGGAACTTTTGCCAGGAGAAATACCCAAACCAGGGTATCAAAAGATAATACCGGGAATGGGTCAGATATCTCTTGACAAAAAATTTGCAGGCGACTTGTATATCACATTTACCATATACTTTCCATACGCCAATGTCACCATTTAAACACACGGCTGACGGTATGTAGATTATGATACTCGAATGTTCTTTATAGTATAAAATTAAGTATTTCATTGCGACGTTGTAAATTTACATGGATGCATTAGTGTATTCTACGTAGGAAATAAATCACGCATAACCTGTAGTTAATAGACAAGTAATTACTAGGAGTGCAACCGCGAAATTGTGACCGCTTCTTTGGGGAGGCACCGGTGGGGGCGGGTTCTGTGGGCGGGCGAGCGCGACACTGCCAGGCTGACTGCAACATGCGCCGAGATCCGCGCGCGTAGGCTCCGCTAGGAGAGAAAAGAGTGTTGGGGTGGCGAGCGGATCGCAAATGAAAGGGGACAACAGGCCATATTCGATAGCACAGGGAGGAGAGCATTGAAGGGATGTGAGATTGCTAGTCGCATAAAAGGAAAAATATGATGAGTCCACAGCAGATCAGCTTTGCAGATAGCGGCCGCGGTTGAGGCTAGGGCGTAGCTGAGAAAGGAGAAGCAATGCAGTGGGGGCAGCAAGAGAGCGCAAAAGAAATAACAAAAAGCGACACCTGCAGGATTCGAACCTGCGCATCCAGAGGATACCGCCTTAGCAGGGCGGCGCCTTAACCACTCGGCCAAAGTGTCTTTAAATCTATTTCTAGATCCAAAGATGCTGCTTCTGACATCCAAATTACTGTGCAGTATTTATAAAACTCGGCACTTTTATTAAACTAAACCCATTGCTGGCGTTTGGTGTTTTGTATTTTCCAAGACGCATGGTATTTTGGCCCTGAATTGCTTTCGTTGCATTAAACCCCCTAGCTTTTAGTAAGCTAAAAGCTTCGATGGACGATGCGCTATGGTGCTTTACCAAAAGTAACAACTCGAGATCAATGGCATCTGCTTTTTGTAGCAACGCAATAATATTTCTATTTTAGTGTTAAACGATGCTAGGGCCACCTTTGCGTATGCTCAATGTATAGATACGCTTATCTGTTTGGTCTATTCAAAAAAGCCCGAGCATGGGATTATAGATGCTGCAATGAGCGTGTCGTGTGAATACTTTAACACATTTTTTATCACGAGTTGAATGCACTATTTAATGTTTTGTTTTGCTGGACATTCATTGCTCGGCAACAATTGCCGTTTACACATAGTCCGGAATGGCACTAGAGAGTGATTTGGTTATAGATTATGTTTGCGTAGAATATGTATAAATGGTAGTAGCAGCGGGAGGGAGAACGAGAAACTGCATGACGTGTGCCGGCCAGTGACAAAGCGCGAATGACGCAAGTGCCTTTTCTTTTAATTCTGACTATCTGTGGAAAAGCAAACAAGGCTGCTTCTAAACGGCAGCATAAGCAGAGAGGCATCTGGTGGGCGATGGTGTGCTTTTCATTAAGAAAGGCAATAGCCTTCTATATTTGCTAATATACTTGCTAATTCACAGCCAACACCCTATACCCTACCTTGGTAGAAATTTAACAAATCACCTACAGCATGTGTGTGCTACTCCCAGCATATACATCCTGCCAGAGAACATAGGAAATGCATATGTAATCGATTAAGAGCAGAAGACTGTTGTTGAGTTCAACTGGCGATTAGACAAATGATAAGAGCAACGGCCACTGCAGAGCAATTAAAAGCAAGCAGATATATAGGTGTAGCGTGTTTGGTAATGCTAAGCTGAGCAGATGCAATTACATTTGTGGTTTCTGGGGGGTAATGCAAATTAAAATCAAACAATTAGACGCAAAGGTTTTATTGGGGTTCTTTGTCATGCTCCGACCAGCTATTCATAAACAAAATAGCAGATCGGTTAAACATATTATAGGCAACAACACTGCAGGGTGTAATACTCGCTGTTAATGGCGCCATGGCCGTTGAACATGCCATAGCAGAGACTGTAACTACAACTGAGACTTTACAGTTTATGACTGCTTGTAAATGTGCAGCACAAGACAATAGCTGATATGCAAAACAAAGAATAATTTTTTATAATGCAGCACGTGTGGCAAGCAATAAGCATGTGTATACTGCCAGCTAAGAAACAAGAAACCCAACGCTCGACGACTCTGAGCGCATCGGTGTAGATTTGTGGACCAAAAAGACGTAGCCCTTATCAAGAGGAAAAGGGGACAGGAGAGAAATAAGCGCAGTAGCAACAGGGAATGCTCCAAACCCGGAACCTCCTCCACGCTGCCGCTTCAAATCCAATGAGGCTTTACACAAAAGTTAATATCTAAGCA